ACAAGACCCTGATGCAGTGGATCTATGTATATTTAATTGTGGTTTTTAGAAACAAGTAAACTTATGTAAGTAATAATTTAATCAAATGACATCTTTTCTATATACTTTTATTCCATGCCATATTTGTATATGAGAGTATGTGTGTGTGTCTTTGTAAGTACACTTAAATTCTTTTAGAAATAAGGTGGATATAAAGAAACAAAGACACAAAAATTTAAAAAATAAAATAAAAATTATTTGGAGCTATCTGTGAATGGCTGCTTTGCAATTCCAAAGGCTAGTCAGTCACATGTAGGAGTAGCTCAGGCACCAACGGTATAGCTAATACACAAATGGAGGAGAAGTTTCGCATAGGTTCTTGCCTGGATCACATGACACCTTGCCACCCACACCAATCACAGTTGGCCAAAGCGTCCCCACTGCAGTTTTGTGAAACATTAGTAAGAGGTGTTAATAGTTGTAAGGGTGGGAGGCGGTGGGAGACATTTCTGTGGTCCAAAATGGATGTACAACTGAAATTCAAAGTTAAAGAATGTTTTTGCTGCAGGACTTCTTGGGGTGTTAATTGTAAATGATCATTGTGAAGTTTCAAGACAGAGTTATAGACTCTGAAGGATTTGCTGAACATGAGTACAGACCTAGCGTTACTAGGACTCTCCTTAGGATCTTGCTAGCCATCAGAACCTCCCAGGATAGTCTACTTTGCTGTCAAACTTGACTGTGTTTCAAGACCCTCCATCCTACCTACTGGTCATTGGAATTACTTCTGTCTAGAAACCACTGACACAGGAAGTATAGGGTCACCATCCGAGAGGTCTTCCCCCAGTTCCCAGGAAACTGAGTCCTGATGGAACTAAAGTGAAGATTTCACTTTGCATTTCTCTCCAAAGCAGCTTTGGCCTGCCTGGGAGAAACGAGCCTTCTTCTGTCCATAAAGGCCAGGAGCTGGAACTCTGAGTGTTTCTTGATCAGATTATCATAGCATTCTTGTTAACAAGAATTGAGTCATGGGGCATCATACTCAACTCTTTTTTAAAAATGAGCAATGTTAAGATGTCAATGTTGCTATGACTACTTTTTAAAACACTGTTTAGAAGAAAATTTTTTATACATTTAATCTTTAATTTGAACCTTAGTTCAAAGTTATGGACTTGAAATGTACTAAACAAGATGTTGAAAATACAGTATTATGACATTGTTAACATTAGAATATTCTCTCTATTCCTATGCAATCAATTTTATTAATGTTCTAGCTAAATACACACCCACACTGCCTTTGTCACTTGCCTGTATATGTATGTATAAGAAATAGCTCACTGTCTGTTTATAAGTTCTTTCCACAGACTTCTGACAATATAAAGAAGACAGGGTGGAGTTCCCATTCCTTAGTATTTAAAGCATGCTGGACACAAGCAACCAGTTGCTCCAGGGATCACATATTTTCTTTAACTCCTAACAGGTATGTTGGAATGGGGTTGATAGAAAGAGTACAGATGATGCCAAATTGCATGACATTTCAAATCAAAGAATAACCTCCTCAAATTTGTGATTAAAGACACAAAGGATAACTTAGAAAGTAAGAATGCAAGATTCAGGGAGCTGACTTTGTATTCTTTGGCAAACAGGAATAGACTAGAGCAAGATATCAATCTGCAAATATTTGAAAACGTAAACATCATTAAGTGAGAATATTATTTGGCCTGGTAGGCCTGGGCTTAGCAAGCATTCACACCAAGAAATGACAAAGTTAATTGCTATAGGAAATTGGAAACAGCATTCATAGAGACTGAGGGAAAAAGATGGGTATATATTGCAAGATACAAGATATTTCATTGAGACAATCCTTCAAACTCCTACAAGGGACAAAATGATTGGTGCATTCAATATCATGCTAAGTTCCAGTTGTACAACTAGCATAATGTTCCTTGGGTTTGAAGTTGGGGACTTTCAAGTAAAAAAAGTGCTCCATTAACTTACCCACCTACCCTGCTGCAGAAAAAACACTTGAATAGCATCTAACCCTTAGGCTGAGATATGACCTATAGGTCAATCACAGTGCAAGGATCTACATTTCACGGCAACATGCCAATAAAATGAGAAATGTTCTAGATATCATGCAGATCAATATTCCGCATGTCACTGGTCATTACATGTGTACAAGCATGATTATTTAGTATTTTATACTTATCATTTTTCAGAGTTATTGGGAGGGCAGCCAACAGCTAAAATTTACATAAATTAATTCAACCATTCACTCAAGAAACAAGCATTGGGCCTTTACTGTGCATGACACAGAGTTAATGCAACTCCAGTTGCAGGGCTTCTCACTTGCACAGTCTTTCTCCAAAGCCATATACCTAATTTTATATCCCTAATTTTGTGTTCATTTTCCCTAAAGTAGGTCTCCAAATTGTATAATCTTCAAACTCTATGAAATCTTAATCAGCCTCTCATACTAGCACTGGAGAAAATGCACAAGAATCCAATAGTCATCAGTCTGACATCAGGGTAGCTCTGACTGAAGCAGGATGTGAGTGAAACTCAAACCCAGGCCACCTGGGTTCTCAGAGCACTCCAGGAATCAGATTTCCCACAGCAATGTTCCTTCTCTACCTCACCCTTATTGTATTTCAATGGTCTAAACATGACTCTAAGGATTTATGTGATCTGTAATCCCAAGGACATAGGCAGGCTCAGGATGTCATTTATTGTGAAATCTAAATCTTGAATGAGTACGTGAGTAGCTAGTGCTGCCGCTGTGACTGTTGACCAGCCCATGATGGAAGAAACTGGCTTTTTCAATGTGGATCAGTACATGTTGATATCACTCTGAATTTACGCTGCAGGGTCATGGAGAAGAACCAGACAAAAACTTGCTTATTCTGTTGCTAATTCTTCCCAATGTTTCCTGTACATCCTCAGTCCGAGGTAGTGCAGACATGCTCTTCCACTTAATTGCTTCCTACTGGAAATGAATCAGATGACCAGCAAAAGTGTGTTTCTGTATCAAAAGAAAATTAACGCCTTGACCTTCTTCTGTATCTTTGGAGGTGGGCATGATTAGACTAACCTGATTTATCTATGCATAGTGATGAAAATGTCTGGAATTATGGAAGATAGAATTTTAGATCTAGAAGCACAGACTGTATCTGAAATTAGGCCATGTGTGAATTTTTAGAGTCAAACTCGATTTCAGTGACTGTTGGCTTATTGATCTTTTCTACAGTTGAGGTAGGATGTCCATCACTCATCAAGGGAAATGCAGGTATAAATTTCTCAGGGAGCTCTGATTTGATCTGATGAGAAAAGCATAAATGGTATTTTTGTCTAGAAAGTCCCCTGGAAATGTGGTCAAATTCACTGTGTGGATTTCAGCTTCATTACCACGAGTGGAGCCCCCCTGCCATCGTCTGAATTAATCCAGAGAGCATATTGCAGGGGCTACATTTGTCAGGTTCAACTTTCTCACCTTGCCTTTTATCAAGATTATTCTCTAATTTTTTTCTCTCATCTCAACAAAGCACCATTTAGTAAATAAAACATCTTTCTAAGCACCTTTATTAATAAACTATAACTTATTTTCTCTTCCTCTGTGTTCTCAACTCTCCCTTTAAAGGTGAAGTTCAGACTACTTTGTTCATTTAGTTTAGGGAAGATTTGGCACTTCTGGGACTACTTATCTCTAAAGCTAGTACCTGGTCACACTGCTCCTTTACCTGACTGTAAAACTGACACCAGGATGCTACCTGAGTGGTAACAAAGAGACAGGTCACATCTGTCTCCTTTCAGGGCACAGAGCAAGGATCACTCTTGGTTAACTTTGTTCCTTTGCTATACCAGTGCCCAACCCTGTTCATCCACACCCCACCATCAACTGCACCAAAAGCCCCACTCTTGAAGTAGCGCTTATAAGATAAAGGTGAAAGGCTGAAGAGAGAAAACTAGATTATAACTGTGTCTGATTTGTCTCCTCTTGCATTTGCCCATGAATAAGCAACAAACACTTTCACCTTGCAAACATAAAAGCCAACATTAACTCTTGCAATAGCTTTCGACTATTGTTGGAATAGAGTTATTTTACTTGAAAGAAGAATTTAAATAATGCATTTGGAGATTCACGATTTACTGTGAGAAGTGCTTGAATTTTGGCAGGGAAAAAAACAGTCGTTGTATTGCTTATATATTAAAGAGTAAAGAAAATGTTTAGGGAAGTTTATACACCTTCAACAAGCATTCCCAGGGCTTGTCATTTATAGCTGTACCATGTTTACAGCTCATTCTCCAGACTGTTAGATTGGTTCTAAGCTTCTGATATACCCATCACACAAATACATTTTATAAGCAACGCTGGACCCCAAAGCAACGTAAGCAAAAATCTAGTGGGCTGCTCTCATTTTCTAAACAGATGCAAATGGACTGGATAGTAAAGGATATTTAAGGTATTTGACATTTACTAAGTCAGTCCCCCCAAAAAATTTGCCTCTATTTGGTTTCTAAAGTCACATATTGGTGGGCTTCTTTGCACCCAGTATGTTGTTATCATTCAGGTATATAATTACACACACACACACACACACACACACACAAACACACACACACACACACACACACACCCCAAATCAAGAAAGTGCAGCCCTTTGGAGATTTCCTCCATGTGAAAACAGAACAAGGATGTGCTCGGTCTGTGGGAAAGAGCCCAATGACCTGCTTTTGTTGGCTTTTCAGGGTTGCTGGGGTCTCGCTCTCTTTCTCCCCAGAATTCTGGCTGTCTGCATTGGTTAGAAGTGTGAGGAGAGGAAATTGGGGAAATAGCACTTTCTGTAAAATGACCACAACTGTTGGTGGGAGGAAGGAGTGGAAAGAGGGAGGGAGGACTTTTTAGAAATGTGTTTTCCTTAAGCGACCAGAATCCCCAAATTCAACTAAGTCTACTTCTCTAAAACCCTCAAACTACTTATGCATTTATTTAATTCAGAGAGGAGCTGTCTGCTCTGTCATTTGATTAGCATTTCTGAGAAATGACTACCAGCAATTTAGTTAAACTTTTCACTTTTCTGTCTTTTGTGAAGACTGGCCGCATGACCTCTGGGTGGTTCCCTGGCTGGTCATTTATTAAATGCTACTAGGGAAGGAAGAAAACTGCTAAAAAAATAATAATAGTAACCACAAAAAGGTATGGAAAGGATAGCTCTCCGGGAAGCTGTATGTGAGGTAAGTGCTTACTTAATTATTCAACTGTAAGTCTCTCTGATACTGTACTAAGTTTTTACAAAATGATGGTATTTTAAAATGTATTATAGTTTTATATGACAATTTTTTATTTTTAGGACAATTTTAAATTGGAGAGAATTTATTACATAAGGCTATTATTATAGATTGCCCTATATATATTTAAACATTTATGAGAGGACAAAACAGGGTAAAAACTGGGATAGCAGTTGATATGTAAGAGTGTGAATACATGTGTGTGATCTTGAAGTCTCAAAAAAAGAACTTTAAGAAACTCTCATAATTTTTTTCAAAATATTTCTTACAGGCTAAAGGAAAAAAGACTAAGATATGTTCAGATTAAAAACAAAATCAATCAATCTAAACATTTGAATTACTGGTACCAATTTTGGTCTTTAGTTTTCCAAAGTTAAATCTTACATTGGTTGTAAGTTTTCTAACCTCTAACTTAAAGAAATTGTAAAGTCAGGAAATGTCTACTGAGCAACAAATTCTTATTTCCTTCAGGAGACTAAATGCGGAAGTACAGAGAGGATACAAATGTAGGCTTTACAGGAGCAATGTGGAAATTTCACCCAGTCTAACATTTATTAGCTGAGGCTAGTCTAAGCTCACATGAAATTATATACAGATTATAAAAATTATTATCCACAGGTTGTAAACAAAGTTCATAATGTTTCCAAAGTCAGAATTGTTTACATTCCTTATACCTACCACAGGAAACTTACATAACTTTTCTTTTAAGGATAGGTAACAGATTTCAAAATATTCCAGTGAAGTTTCGTCTTACGGCAATCTAAACTGATTTCTCCACTGACAAAGGAAAATAACTGTTGAAGAATTAGCCAAAGAACTATATAATTGCTAAAAGTCAATAACATACTTTTTCTGACAGACACTAAGATAGAAAAACACTTACAAAGAGAAGTCGGAGTAATTCTCCTGCGATCTAGAGACCTTATACCCACAGCAAACGACATCTGGATATTGTTTCACAGGCAAGAATAAAACACTTTTTTTTGCCCCATCATTAAGTAAAAACTCGTTTTCCACATGCAAACAGCACTTGTAAATCTGCCCCCCCAGATAAGCTTGGACGTCTTGAATAATTTAAGTTTTAAAAGAATCACAACTTTTTCATTACCTTTAGAAGTAAACTTTTTCAAAAATCTCTCCAGCATGCTACATGCTCTAATGTTGACATAAGCACATACCTCTTACCTGCAAAGTCCGATGAGTGCAGACTCCTGGCTAGATGTGAAATTATAACAAGGCAAAGAAATGCTCAGTCGATGCAGGTTGCCTTGGGAAAGATAGGTGTTTAAGGTTTCTCAAAATAAAGAAAACTCTCTCGCTGCTCACTGTCAGTCAAAAACAAGTTGGTACAAGTTTGAGTAGGAATTACCTGAAGGAACTGAAGAGAGAAAGAAAGAGATTGGGAGAGATTAGGCAGAGGAGGGAGGGGCAAGGAAGGAGGGAGGGAAGAAAGGAAAGAGTGAGAGAGTGGGGGGAGAGAGAGAGAGAGAGAAAGAGAGAGAGAGAGAGAAAGACTGAGAAAAAGAGACCATGATGTCAGCAGTGTGTCTTAAGGAAATCTACAGACCAGCACAGAATTTAGAGGACACCCAGTCCTGAGCTCTCCAAACACCTGTATACAAGAAAACTGATGCCCTTTTAAAGAATGCCAGTTAATTTTTGAATAAACTTTGCCACTCTTATCAAAGCCTTAAATTCCCTTTGCCTAAGTAAACTATAAATAAAGAACCAGACTATCTTTCTAACAAGCTAACAAGCTCTTCTTTATTCCATGTTCTCTCTTTCTCTTCCCTCATCCCTCTCAAAATGAATGTTAACAAAATTCCCTACTTCCTGAGGGACTTAGGACAAACACACACAGACCATACCTGTATCGAACACACCTAAGCAAAGTGTCACAGAGAGAAACTTATGTTTTTAACTCGGCCCTATTATGGAGTTGATTTTTTTCTATCACCTCTGTTTTCCCTGATGAGAAAATGTAAAGAAGTTGGACAGACATGGGTAAAATTCAGTTCTTGTGGATCATGGAAATTGGGCTTGGGGATACTTGTTGAAGTCCGGGTTACTGCACTCTCGCAGAGCCTGGCATTTTTATGAGAAATGGTCAGAATTCCATCCTTGAAGCAGACTTCTAAGGGAAGATCTTTCAGTCTTTGGAAATGGAGGCAGAGAGCTTCTTTTGGGAATGCAGTCCTGTGTCTTTCCTAAGCCAAGTGATTCTTGCAGACTTCATGCCAGTCCAAGTCCCATATATTTTCCTGGCCTTCTCATGGCCAGAGTGCATGGGGAACCTAGTCGATCCCGAGACTAAATGGATTTCCCACAGGTGCTTCCCTTAATGGGATGCCCCAAAGGCAATTCCAAGGAAAATAATGACTCTGTCACAAAGGACATGATGACACACTCACATGTCCCCCACACAGGCACCTTTGAAGAGTCAGGTCACTGCATCTGGTTTAATTGGAGGGAACAGGGTGAGAAGTGCCTTACTTTTGTCAGGAACAAATAATATTCCCTCTCCCTTGAGTTCTTGCAGCTTGAACTAAATGGAGGAAGGAGGGGGAATAAAGTGACATTTTTCTTATGGAGGGGGAAGGACTAAGACTACCCTATTTTCTCCTCTCCCTCTCTTCTGACTCAAAGCCCAGGGCATAAATCATTACATTTCCAGTTCCCCAAAGGGAACAGTGCACCTCAGCCTCCTTCCCTTTTGCCAGTGTTTTCCCCCTGGAAGCAGGATGCTCTATTTCAGCCTGGAAGTCTATATGGTGGCCCTTGAGAGAAGACACTGGGCTCCCAAGGGCTCAGGGAGTGGAGGATGAAGAAACCATTTAAGGTTTTCACTTCTTAAAGCTGTTGTAGTTTTCTTCCAGCAGTCTAGAATCAGACCTCCCATGAGGATATTTTTAAAGTTCCATATAAAACGGACAAACACAAAGGTAAAGAAAAAAAGGAAGGATAACTCAGTATTAAAGGGTCTGACTATATCCCACCTGTACAGATGAAAGGATTTGTACAGGCTGCTTTCCTGGACCTACAAATGGTCCCCTCTCGTCTTCATTCACCAGCCTGACTCCTTATCGTAGTTTAGGTCTTAGCCCAAATGGTACCTCTCCAATGAGGCACTCACCAATACAACCCCAATTCAACTCTGTGCCTCAAGACTCCCTTTTGTTTTGTATGTCATTTTCCACTGCCAGAAGTTGTCCCAACTCTATCATTTTCTGCCTATGTTCCATTTCACCTGTCTTGTTCACCAAGCATCTTTCCAGCTGTACCTGGCACATTTGTCAAGTGGTTTGATACAATACTATAAATGGAGGATGCAACTTGTTACAATTGGACTTTAATTATCTTCTTATTTTTAATGGGCTTTTTCAGCCTCACCTTGACTTAATAAACTAACATTTGAAACTTCTTTCTCAATTCATAAGACTCTTGCAGAAATGTTATTTATGTGATGCTCAAACCAAAATGTAGGCACAATTAGTTGTATTCTAAGGGTGAAGAAATGGAAGACAAAAAGGGTGAGTGATTTCTTCAAAATCACAAAACTACAAAGGAATGAACTGAACCTCTGAACAGCTCTTTTCACTCTTGGTGCATGCATTTTTCATTATTGAACATTTTTCTCAGATTCAGATATTGTGGGCATACATATGCATGTGTAGATTCTTTGGAGCATCAAGTAATACACTACAGGAATTATAGCCACAGTTTAATACTTTGGGAAGTTTTTGTTCTTACAGGATCATGTGTCATAGAGCTGATATTCATTTAAATAGTCTTAAAGATGATAAAAGGAGAAAATAAAGTAGTATGGATACATTTAAAAAGTTAAATGCTAAGAAAATATTCTTCATTTGGGGAATGCTTACCTGTTCTTGTTATTTTTCACTTGGTCAACAATTAAATCTTGAGGTTGCAGATCTGACAATTCCCAGAAGGAGGGGAGGCATTATAAACGTATGATTGATGGGTTGAAAGATGACTGGGAAAATTCCACCACAAGCATCTATGAGACCTCTGCCACAGGGGACAGACTTTGTTTTGCATGTTTTAGTAATTGAATTGTCTGGTTAGGTATTTCTGAAGTTAACTAAGGGAAAGAGGACAAACTTTTAATCCTGACAAAGAGTATTTCTGTCAACCAATCTCCCTTTCATCTAGAGAGTAAAGTCTGGATCATAATCTGGTTCTAGGGGGTAGGATAAGGAATCTACTGTGCAAGATTATGTGAAATTATATAACTAATCATTGTGTAGCTGAAAATGGTTATTGCTATTGATCTTTTAGCCTAAAGTAAAAAACAAATATGATTTCAGTAAACCAATCTTTATCTTTCTTTCTTTCTTTCTTTCCTTCTTTCTGTTCCTCCTTCCTTCTTCTCTCCCTTCCCCCTTCCTTCTTTCCCTTTCTTTCTTTCTTTCTTTCTTTCTTTCTTTCTTTCTTTCTTTCTTTTCTTTCCCCTGTTAATTGAAACCAAGACTCTTAATATGTCAAATTTGAATAAAATATACATCTAAAGTCTGTATTTTTATCCAAAGTCCTGAAGAGACACCTGAATACTGGGCAGAAAAGTTCATAAGAACCAACTTTTTTAACAGAGCCATTTCCCAAGAATAATTTCCAAAAGAGAAAAAAAATACTGTAGTGCTTCCAATTCTCATCTTGGCTGGAATTGACATAAAAAAACCTTGAAGTGTGATGAGAGGGAAAAAAATACATTTTTACCTTTGAATAAGTGATATTTAAGTTGGGTTAGATATGGAGCTATTTATGAAGGGTTATGTCAGTCCTTACAATTTCATCACAACCCCCTATGACTCCACCGACTTAAAGAACCTTCCACATGTTAGGCATGATGTGGTTTCCTCCAGTTTGCTCCAACCATTCCTATCCTAGAGGCATTTAAAATGATTTCTTGAAGTGTAGGTGAGCTG